CTTAACACTAATAATTTTATGGCAAATAAAGGTATTTACCTCTCTCGATGTTTCGACTAGGTTGCACTAGCCGTGATCACGACTGGCTGGAGCAATAGCGATGTCATTGTAGATAGGTGACAGCAGTTTTTTCATCTTCCGTCAGTAGATTATTCAACGAAAGTTCGCGACACACAGCACTCACGGTATCCATTAACTTATCGACTGTTGATGTTACTGAACTTTGCTTAAATTTATTTATGACTGGATTCCACGCAGAAGATAATTTTAAGCCATCCTCTCTGTTGAAATTGGTATGTTTTTTAATTTCAATCGTCTCCCGGACCATTCGTGGATAATAATAGCGATCTATAGAGAGTACCTTAGGCGCATGTAGTTCAATCCAGTGATTTGTTCCAACTTCAGACGATAGGGGGCGAGTGCAGATGGCACTCTAAACCCGCGGATGGACTTATGGAGCGGCTGAAGGCCAACTCCCGCCTGACGGATACGACTTTAGTCTGAGGGCACTGCTAGGGGTCGAACCTCGGCTCAGGCTGTCGTAACATCGGTCCCCGTTGGAATTGGACGGGAGGTCGATAGGAGGGGATAAATCTTGCATGGCAAAGAGCTGTTAGCAGAATTAAGACGACACATCGCAACATTACAAATATCATTTTTTCTCAGCTATTACAAATCCTTCGAGGCTGATATTTAGATATTTGACTTTTCACTACTTTGACATTATAACTATTGTTCTTGTTACATGATTGATTAGAATAGAAAATCATTTATTCAAATAAACTTACATTGAAGCAGTTTTGAATAGTCATCACATTTTTTTTATCTATCACTCATTCGGAAAGCTGTCTCATCACAAGAAGAACCAGCAAGAAACTTGTGTGTTGCTCTTTTAAATAATTTTATTCTTACTTTACAATTTAAGTTTAAGTATGTAAATACAAACTACCAATTAGCACTAATTCAATTAAATATTCAAATAGAAAAAAATTTACTTATGTAGCAGAGAAAAAAATCTCAAAGATTGATCTTATAAAATATATTTTTAATTAGTATAAGAAAACGGGACTGATTTAAGACTCCAACTTTCCAATATACATTATACTAAGTACACACATAAATAGTGTAATTCAGATGTATATAATATCCAATAGTTTTTATTTTAAACAAGATAAACTGTTTTTCCGCACAAAATCTCTTGCTCACAAGTCGTTTTATATGTGAGACAGATTTACCCTCGCAGTACGTCCACTTTGTACAAAGTCAAACTCAGGCATAAATTAAGAAAGAATTTCTCATCATTCCCACGAGAGTGCGAGATTACAGATTGATACGCGAGAAACCGCGGGAATTAGCTAGTCGTATGGTAAAATAAAATATGTATTACTCTCATGCAATCCAGTTTATATAAATTACGTGTAACATAACCGTAAACTAAATATTAATTATGGCAACACAAATTGATTTAGCTTTTTATGATAGTTAAATCATGGAATTCTTATCCAATTAGACTTTTTACAGTCTATTCGTGCCTCTTTTTAATAATCAGTAATGTTCCAATCATTTCTGACTATAATTAATTGTTTTTTTTTTATTTCTTTACTAGTTATGCTCCTGTCTTTGTACGCTTGTATATTCTTAAAGAAATTGTAAATAACACTATTTGCTGAAAATTTGCAATTTGTTTTATCATGCAATCAGTTTTCCAGACTATAAGCAGATTTGTTAATTATATTATATCGTCTGAGGTGATTCTCCATTGAGAATCCAGCCTCAGATATTCCAGCTTATGTTGTTGAAGTCTGGTATTTTACGTCTCATAAGACGTGCCATATAATCAGGCAATGTCAGTTGAACAGCAAGTTTATTTGGATTGATTGGTCTGTCCACCTTGATTTTTTTTTTTGTAAAATTTGTAATAAATATTATTATTTTCATTATCAATACTATTATGATAATGAAACAACAATAATAATTACAGTCGCTGTCGCTGTCTGTCCGTCCCTATGTAAGCTTAAATCTTTAATACTACGCAACGGATTTTGATGTTTTTTTTTTAATAGGTACAGTGTTTCAAGAAGAAGGTTTATATGTATAATACATGTACACCCGGGCGAAGCCGGGGCGAGTAGCTAGTAATCAATAAAATTAAGTCCATTTACAGTCTATTCCTGCCAAATTTTTTTAATCATCAATAATGTTATGTTCCAATCATTTCTGAGTTATATCCTCGTCTTTGTGCGCTTGTACATTATTTTTAAACATTACATTTTAATTATTAAAAATTAAATCAAAAATTATGGATAAAAATATATATTATATTATTACAGCATTACATATTATTATTGTCATTATCAACGCCATCTATTGATGATAATAAACCACAATAAATTTGTCTTCCTAAACAAATATGTGAAGAACAGATTCTGTGAATATTTCATTCTAATTGTTACAAAATTTTTAGATAAAACGAAAACGATGAATCTCTATCACACAGATACATTTTAAGATTTTATTATTGTGTGAAGAAGACAAAGGTAATCAAAACGAGAGTTCTCATTAAGTAGTATTTTTTTAAATGGTACGGAACTGAAAATAGCTACTGACTTTAAAATCTGCCAATAATAGAATTAATATTTGGCCTTTTAATTATGTGTGTGATAGTTTTCAGGAATGGCAATGTATGTAAGGCCGTACAACTGTAATTTTGATTGTTAAACTTGCTTTGACTTGGCGTGGAGTCCTGGATCAAATGTTACTTAAGTTGGGTTCCCAAAATACATGTTATTATTTTTCTACTCTATTCATATCATATATCCCTTGACGACGTTTGCCACTTTTTATCAGATGAGCCGTTGCTTGTTATTCCAGTTACATAAAAAAGAAAAGAGAAAAAAAAACGAATAGGGCCTTTTGGCGGGAATAATCTATGACTAGTCAATTAGACGCAAGGATATGGACTTTCTATATAGAAGACATCGATTATTTTATCCTAATAATCCAGTAACAAAAATTCAACCTGACTGTGTTTTTTTATAAGATTTGTTGCCTGAATTTAACTGTTTTTTTAGAATATTAAAATCGATTACAATAAATGTATGTTTATTCAATCTTAATCGATTAATTTTTCACATCACTAGTGGACAGTGTGGTGTGATAGTCAATATTACAGCGATGAATACAACGCACAGTCTATATTGTCATTGCTGCCAACCAATTAACATTATAAACGGCTATTAGTGTACAAGTAAGTACGCAATTTGGATATGTACTAATACTAGTAGTAAATTAATTGTAGTTGTAAAATTATACGATATTATTGTACGAATAGTGTGGGATAAGATGAACTTTGTAAATGTTGGAGAAGGTGATAATCGTCAGTCATGACTTGAATATGTAATCTGTAAAAAATGAAGATACTAGCTAACGCGACTTCGGTGATGGCACTCAGGTTTTTTCGGACTACTCTAATGCTGTCTGCCGTAACTGGCCTTTACAGCTTCACCGGACGATACGTGAGTGCAGATGGCGCTCCAAACCAGCGGAAGGACTTATGGAGCGGCTGAAGGCCAACTCCAGACTGACAGATATGACTTTAGTTTGAGTGCACCACTAGGGGTTCGAAACTTGGCCCAGGCAGTCATAATTTCGATCCCCAATTGAACTGGATGGGGGATCGATCGGAGGGGTTCATAGGTACACCGTGTAGTTTATTAGTGGGTATGAATCCCACACACCCCTTTGGCAAAAGGACGGTTTTTAGGAGATTTTTCCACATGATAAAAAAAGTGCTTTGGATTTTTCACTTCATCCGAGCCCCGGCGATATATCACGCGTTGCAATATCGGATATTCTTATTTACGTTTTATTGTACAAAAGTTCGCTCGTAATAAATTGTTACCATATCTCACAGAGATTGCTATAAATTATTCAGGGTGAGCAGAGCAGATATACAGTATCTTTCTTAATTACATTATATTGGTTGATAATGGAATACAACTATTTGTATATTGACGGCGTCGGTGGTCTAGCGGTTTAGCACACCGATTTACTTCCGATGGTCAAGGGTTCGATTCCTCGCGCGGTAAACATTTGTGTTCATGAGTTGTTGATGATTGTTTGTGTCGGGCTGGGTGTTTTCTATGCATATTGTGTAAGTATTTAATAAAATAAAATCTGTGTATTTATATCAGTCGTCTAGTACACATAACACAAGCTCTGCTCAACTTGGGACTACATGGAGTTGTGTGAATTGTCCAGGGTCATTATTATTATTATTTATATATATCTTATTAATATTATAAACGCGAAAGTTTGTGAGTATGGATGTATGTTTGTTACCCTTTCACGCAAAACTACTGAACAGATTTTGCTGAAACTTTACATGAATAAGTCTGCTTATATAATACATCAGAATATATAAAGGCTATAAATTTCACGCGGGTAAAACTACGGGCCCAGCTAGTATTTTATATATCTTCCCTTTGACGGGGTGTAGACTTGTCTTTGCGGGTGAAAATTATTTATTTTAGCCGAGTTTAACATATAGCAATCCTTGAACTTTTTTATATGCAGACTGAGAATAGAATAGAAATAATCCTTCCAAATAAACTTACCATAACACAAGCTCTTCCTAACTTGGGACTAGATGGCGCTGCGTGAATTGTTTAGGTTTATTATTTATTATATGAATATACGCGGGGGATTGTTAGTAATGTAGGCTGATGACCCCATTGCTAGCAATGTATCATATCAGGTCAACCTCCACGCGGTTTCTCTTGGAAACAAACGTGATATGTTACTGGTGAATTTATCACCTCTCACAATTCGTGCTAATTGACCTGACCTCATGTTTATCTTATTAATTCTTCACTAGTGCTCCGCCAGCAGAAATCGTAAACGCAGGTTGGTGAACCATACCATTCTCATGCATTATTAAAAAATATATAAAAAAACCATTTTGATTTTGACTTCGAGACTATAATTGTAATGTACGTTACCTGTGTTGCATTAAAGGTGCAATGAAGCCAATGCATCACATTCCTTGCTCTCTCCAACACGAACACAACACAACATACAATTAAAACACAAAACACTTAAAACTGTTAGATCTATGTTATTACTAACACACTATAATTTTCATAAATCACAATGCTACAGATCGTACTCTATCGCGATTGAATTCGAATTCGTTGCACGACGGTTGCGTGCGAAACGCACGTTTACTTCGAAATGACCTGAAGCACTGACTGATAGCGAGTAGTGGATATGCGCGTGCGCAGCCGCGGGTGAGCATTCGAAAACGCACATACGGACCGAATAGTATTGATACTTGCAATATATAAACGAGTATAGACAACGCATCATTTTTTTTCTGACCACTCTAATGCTGTTGGCCGCAGCTGGCCTTTACAGCTTCACCAAACGAGGGGCCGAGTGCAGATGGCACTCTAAACCCGAAGGAATCTGGCTCCTAATAAAGATAGGTGACACTGCATGTTGTAAACTCACCCGGCCGGCCAGCGGTGGTTCTGGGCCAGACGGATAAGGTCTGCCTCGGTGCCACTGTTAGGCAAATTGTAACATCTCGGCTGGAGTTGTACAAAAGTGGAAATTAAATAAATATAATAATATTAAAGTAATTTAAAAAGGCACGGACGAATATGTCTGTGAAAATTGTATTAAAATTAAAAGAAAAAAAACCCCGAAGGAAAGAAAAGAAAGGTATTATGGTGCGGCTGAAGGCCAAGTCCTGCCTGACGGATACGACTTTAGTCTGAGGGCACCGCTAGAGGTTCGAAGCTCGGCTAAAGCCGTAATTTCAACCCCGTACTAATTGAAGGGGGGATTGACCGGAGGGGAAACGCATTAGAATTTATTTTCAATAGTACCTGCATATATTTTTGTAAACTTTTCTAATTTCCTAAACTCATCGATATAAAGGATTGTTTACTCTATTATAAAATACTTATATAAAGACCTAGTTCGATACAATGAAGGATCTGATAAAAAAAATTTAAAATAAAAATTGATTATAATAAAGAAAATAGATTAAATATTTCTTATATAAATATTCGTATGTTATGTTATAGAAGTCCACATACTGCTAAATAGTGGTATATACTATAAACAATTACAATAATTCAAATTTCCATTTTTTTATGGATAAATAGTTTGTGGTGCAGTTCTAAAGGTATATGATATATTATGTATATAAAAAATTGCAATTTCTGTTAGTTACAAATTCACAGCTTTTCACTAAATTCATATGATATACGGTACTAGCATAAAAAAATTGATATTAAAAATCTGACTGTCTGTCTGTAGGTTTGTTTGCTAATCTCTGATACGGCAGAATAATATCACAAAAAAATGTCTGTCTGTTTCTTCTTGCTAATCTCTAAAATGGCTGAATCGATTTTGAAGGGACTTTTGCTCCAAGATATCTAATACTATAATGAGTAACTTATACTACTGTTATTTTAGAAATTGTTTATTTTGATAAAAAAAAGTTACAATTCATGTCATAAATATACTTATAATTTAGAAATTTTATATATTTTAATAAAAAATAAAGCTAAATTCTCTTATGTATTAATTTTATATATTTATAAATAAATAAATATAAATAAATAAATAAATTCGCAAATAACAGTTTACATCTATATATGAAAAGATTTTACGATTTTTTTAAATAATTATAATAAAATATTTGTAGATATACAAGTATCAAAATTGATACATCGCACTAACTTAATCTCCATTTGATTCCGTACACAAAGAAATGCATACTGTAATGATGCGCGCGCGCAGCCGCCTACAAATAAACTCGTACCACACTTGGGTATTTGTAATTAATTTATTCGTTTAACTATGTTAAGTATTTGTTTACATTAATTAACTGACATCGGGTTTCCGGGGAGGGGATTGTTAGTAACGGGGATTAAGGCCCTTGCTAGAATAATAGAAACACGAAATTTGAAATTTGTAACTTGAAATTCGAAATTCGAGATTAGAAATTCGAGATTCGTAAATAGATATTCGAAATTTAAAATTTATTTATATATCATAAAAGTAAGTGAGTTCCAGAACTTAACAGCCTGGATAGAAAAAGATTTTGAATAAATCGAAATGTAATGATAGAAATGGAGATTACGCTACGCAAAGAATAACAACTACCCTCAATGTAGGTAAGAAATCTTTAATGTAATCAGGAGTGACAGTATTAAAGAACTATAAAAGAGAGATATGTATATTGAGACGAAGTAATTAATACGTATTAATTCTATATTTCATGTTCAAGTGAAGTGGAAATATAGATTTATTCGGTTTAGTCGGTAAAATTTCAAAAGTACTGTGTAGAAATTTATTGGAAGGATGTCGATATTGATACTAATACAGACAGACAGAGAGACAGATACAGACAGTAGTGGCAGTGTAGTTCAAAGTTGATTGAACTTGTATTTTATGTAATTCGAAATTTGAACGTTAAAGTTAGAAATTTATGAAATTCCAAATTTGAAATTTGAAATCTGAATATCGAAATTTGAAATTCGAGATTCGCAAATCGGAATTCGAAATCTAAAATTTATTTATTACATATTATTGTCATAAAAGTGGTAAATACACATAGAAGATGGTAATCTTATTGAACTTATTTTATGTGCACGTTTTGTCGATCTTTAAGAAACCTAAATATAAATAGGCATACAGATGCTTTTTGTGTCAGCCAGATTTGATCTTAATACATTATAAAGTCAGGATAGTAAACAACCACCATTTTCTGAAAAATCAAAAAGATCTTTTACGCTATTTTTTAAAATAAATATTTATGTTATATTCTATAGTTTCTTTTTTAATTAATAATAACGGAATAGTGCACCTGCCTGCGCTAGTGGTGTACGCTGGCGGGGCACTAATCCAGAATATTAGATGAGCATGACGTCAAGTTAGTCAGCACATCGTGTGAATTAAAATGGTGGTTTCCAGGGACGACCGCGTGGAGGTCGACCTGACAGAATTTATAGCCAGGAGACCACTTATTCCCAATACTAATAATCCCCTTTCCCAACATGTAGCGACCAACTTCTAAGTAATTACTTTACGACTTAGCGAATTTATTACTATAGGGACACTAAACTAGGTTAGAGTAGTAAATATAGCAATTTAGTTTAATAAGTATATTAATGACAAGTTCAAACTGTATGTATGTGTGTTGCAACAAAATTAGCGCAGGCTAGTGTGCCAATAGGCAGCAATATCCTTGTGAACTAACGGGAAAGTTGGCTGGTCTAATTGATACGCTGAGGCGTTGTAATTAAATTTATTTATACGATTCGCATTAGTTTGATTTATTTTATATATCATTTGCATCTTTATATGAATATATAAAAATTTTGGTTGGTCTAATTTATAGATTGAAGCGTTATAATTCGATTTATTTGAATAGTTGGGTGCGATTTAATTTATTATATCATTTCCATTTTTATAACATATAAAATTATAAAATAGTGACAAAACAATAAATGTCTGTTAATCTGTTTTTAAGTTAACAATCTCATAACTTTCATGTAAAACCGGCTGAAAGAAATAGGATGACCACCATCAATAGGATGACGAGTTCACAGAACATGTTGTTCAATATGGATCAACATAGTCTAAAGTAGTAGTATAGTCCCATTCGGTGTCGAGACCCTTGGTCCGTGGGGTCCGAGCGTTATAAGACTTTTCAAAGAAATAACAAAAAGGTTAGTCGACATCGCAGAAGATCGAAGAGCTGGCTGTTACCTCGGACATAGAATTAGTCTAGCTATTCAAAGGGAGAACGCTGCCAGTATCTTCGGAACTTTGCCTATTGTATTACATTTTTTAAGCTTTGTATTTTAGGTTGTAGTTGTATAATTAAGTTATGTCAATGATATAATTAGTCTAAAGATATCTTAAAATATACACACCAAAGTGGGGAAGTAATTCATTTTAGTGATATTGTTCAATACATCATAGTATTTTATTAATTATACAACAGATGTCGTTGTACGTATTATTTATTGTAGGCGTTTATTTATTAGCATCAACAGAGGGTAATCTACAAATATATTCTATTTTTCTATTACCATTAGTTTCATTACATAGGTATAAAAATAAAAATTTACAGTAAGATACCAAAAGATATATTGGAATTATATTTACTGAACAAAGCCTATTACTCACTAAACGATTACTTGAATGACGAGCGTGCATGGCAATAGTCGTTCATGCACCGGATTTTCATTTAATGTTAGAAATAGACACCTATATAAATACCTATAAATTGTAAATAAACCGGCTTTTAAAAAAAAAGTAATTCAATCGAGTTTCTTGCCAGTTCTTCTCAATTGGATCTATATATCGAACTGGACGGTTTACTAGCGAGCGGCAAGCGGCTAAAATGTCCTACATGAATAAATGATTTTTGAATTTGAATTTGAATTCGAAACGCTAAAGGCTTAAATTTGGACCAAAACGAAAACTGCAGTACTAATAAGCTTTAGAACTCTCTAAAGATACACAATTATATGCACGTACATATATAATTCTTGGAAATGCATGCTAGATTTCGAGTTATTTTACTACTAACTTTACGCCGTGACTTCGTTCATGAATCTGGACTAATAATAATAATAACCTGGGACAATTCACAGAGAGAGACAGACGAGAAGAGAAGAGACGGACAGAGACCAAATTTGATGAAATTAATTGAAATGTGCTTGAGAGTACAAACCTAAAAACGTCTAGAAAATAAAAAAGTTACGTCATCAGTAGGGAAGTTAATGAAATTGGAGAGAAAACTACAGAAGCTCCAAAACAAACGTTAATGTTTTAGCTATTTAATGTATGAAGTCTAAAGCAAAAGAAATTAATACATAAAAGGTTGAAATTAGAGAGTTAAATACGTCTAGAAAATAACTAAACACGTCACCAATAGTTAACTAAATGAAATTGGATGGAAAATGAACCAAATCCATGAGAAACTTTACTCATTAGGCTATCTAAATATATATAACTCATAGGTGACTGACATAGTGATCTATCAACGCACAGCCCAAGCCACTGGACGGATCGGGCTGAAATTTGGCATGCAGGTAGATGTTATGACGTAAGCACCCGCTAAGAAAGGATTTTGATTAATTCTACCCCCAAAGGGATAAAAGTTTATATGAAACTTTGTCAATTTTAAACCGATCCGGCTGAGACGTTGCATGCATAAAGTTATTATAACGTAGGCATCCCCTAAGAAAGGATTTTGATAAATTCCACCCCTAAGGGGATAAATTAACGCGAGCGAAGCCGCAAGCAAGCTAGTTTAATGTATAAAGTCTAAAATAGAAGAATATATACACAAATGGTTGAGACTAGAAAGCTAAAAACGTACTCGGAAATAAAAGAACACATAACCAGGTAGCGACCAAATTAATAAATACTCGAATAGAACTTTTACCAAAAATTTAAAGTGGAAACAACGCACGATTTCGAGCTAAATTCTATGGCACGTGGCTTGCTTCTGTTACTGTATTGCTTGCACTCTTTGAATACTTAAAATTCTAACTCTGCTTCGAATACATATAATACGCTGTCGCATAAGGACAGGGTCGTCACTGTAGCTAGAAAAAGTATTTAACATTTATAAAAATCTCTAAACGAAACAGCTCTGTAACAACACCCATGTGAGAAGAACAGCCAAAGGCCAAGGTGGCGGTATTTCTCTTGTATTGAGGCTACTCAACTAAGATGTGTTTATTGGATAAATATATATATTTAAAATAAAAAATAAAATATTTAGAATATAATGTACACAGATTTTAAATGACGCCACGGAATGTTCGAGAAGTGCAAAATTGTATATAAAATAACATCGATGTTCTGTGCCTAATGTTCCAAATAAGAAATTTTAAAATTTTATTTTATTAAACATATTAAAGAGCTATTTGCGATCGCAAACAAGATGTATGGAAATAATAATATGGAAATTTTTAAGATATATGGTAAATAATACAAACTTATTAAATCTATACAAGAAGAGGTGACCAAACAGACTGCTATTCTCAACGGTATAGTTGGTCGATTTCCAGACCTAGACATACTTACATGTAATTTCCTGGATTTTCTTAGGATGGCAGATCTTTATTTCGGTTTAAGGGTGAGAATGAGGCAGTGAAATTTCAGGGTACAGAGGTAGAACATTTTAGTAATACGGAATGAGGTGTTCATATGCCACTTACCATCATGCCGACAGTCCACAAATTTGCAATTATTATATAAAAATTTTTGCCTTTGCGTTATTTTGATGTATAAGCTATCTTACGGTAAAATTTCATCAAAATCCGTTAAGTAGTGTTTGCGTTAAAGAGTAATAAACATCCGTCCAACTATTCTTCCCTAGTCACAAACTTTTCCGTTTATAATATTAGTAAGATAATAAGATTGTTGACAACCCTGATCTGCTCACTTTGCAGACATATAATGCAGATGGCGAAAAATAAACAGCAAGTTATATAAGATTGCTAGTGTGTTATTGAACTGTTTCAGGTTTATATAAAAAAAAACAAAAAGACATCTGGCAACACTTCCGTATAACCAGATACTTTTATTGGTATTTTTTTTTAATATTTTTATGTAATTGGTTCACAGTTTTTCACATGTAATCAGTTCTTCTCATCTCGAAATCATTCCAAACTGACAGTAGATTTGACATATGATAAGAGTCTGTAATAGATCTATATGGATAAATATATTTTGAATTTGAACTGGAGTAGCAAACAGTAGTTTTGATTTACATTTAGAAGATTAACGTTGTAATTTTATATTTTACTGGTCATATTGCACTGTCCAATACTAATTAATAATCTTCGCAAACAGTATTATTTGGTTTTTTTAATGGTGCCCTGCCTGCGTTAACAGTTTACGCTGGCGGGGCACAAGTGGAGGATGATAAAATGAGCACAAAGTCAGGTCAGTTAGCATATCATGTCTAATTTGCCAAGAATTTTGTTACGATGGTTTCCAAGGGGAACCGCGTGGAGGTCAACTTGACATGGTACATTGCTAGCAATAAGATCATTAGTCCACATTACTTACAATCCCCTAGCATCGCACCCCTTCCTTGGATTACTAGATTAAATTTTCTTATGATCCAAATATAATTAAAGTAATAACGTTACAGTGCTATAGTTATAGTTATAGTTACACATATGTACCAGGGTAACTAATATCCGTCACCTATTCAAATTAAAAAGAACCTTTATTCATGTCTATTACAGACTCTTATGATATGTCAAATCTACCGTCAGTTCGGAATGATTTCGAGATGAGAACTGACAAGAAACTCAGCTCGTATTCATTTCAAATAAATGTTGTACATGTTTACAATAATACAGATTCATTTTAAATCCAATTTTGGGAGAATAGAGTAACCAGCATATGCTATTGCAAAACCAAAAAGTCTAATCAGTGTTCGCAACCTGAACAGACCAGTCCTCACAAGCAGCACCCATTCACGACGGATACTCGTGAATGAACTATAAATTTACTTGCCGAGGTTTTCTCACGAGACTACAGCATGCGTTTTTCAAGAAAGGTACATTAAAGTTTAACACCCCTGGTGTTTCAGGCCTCCATAGACTACGGTGACTGTTTACCATCAGATGCTCTGCTTGTTTGTCATCATAGTAGTATTAAAAAAAAACGTATGAAGCGAACATCACGAAATCAAAATCTTTTTTGAATCTCGTCTATAAATCAGTTTAATCGACTAACGGTTGTAAATAATCTTCGACAGCGTTAAGTGTCGGGAACAAATGTGTTAAACGTATCGCGAGTGCGTGATCAAGTGCAGTAAAGTTAGCGAGTGTGCCCGTCCACTGAACGGTTACTGAACCCAAACTATTTCGGTAAAAAGACTTGTTTTGTTTAATGCTAGTTGATAATCGTGACCTTTTCTGCTTTTTTTATAAGAAAAATATCTAATCATCTATTTATTTACAGAAAAAAACAATCACTGGAATCCGACGTGGCCCGTAGAGAACTTGTGTTTATAAGTATAATAATTGTCTATATCGAACAGGGTGTTTTCTAAGTATGATATACTAGCTGACCCCGTAAACGATGCTTTGCATATAAATTGAAATCGTTATTAAAAATAGGGGTTTGTGATAGAAGGGTGAAAATTTAGGGTTGTATGTATTTTTGCATGCCACATTATAAAAACATAAAATAGAAGTTTTCTTAAAAAAATGTTAGGGTTGTACAACCCCTATCACTTGGGGTATGAAAAATAGTAGCCGATTCTCAGACTTACTGAATATGCACATGAAAAAACTTTCATAAAAATCAGTCAAGCCGTTTCTGAGGGGTATGGTAACTAACATTACGACACGAGAGTTTTATATATATGACATGTATGTAAAAAATGTATCTAAGTATTTATATTACCCTGGTACACATATGATAACAAAGGAACGAGAAATTGGAATGGATGGATATTTGTTACTCTTTCAGGTACCTAATATAGCTTATACATTAGAATAACGATTAAAAGATATTACATAAATTTGCCGAAACATAATGTTAAATGTCAAGTAAGTGTAATGCAGACAAAGTTGCTAGGGTCAGCTAGTGCTGAATGTATGTATACTTTAAATAAACTCATTTAATGTTTTAAAGCACTTACTCAACATATCAAAGAAAATCATCTAAATAATTATTATGAATTTCTAAAACATCCGTCAATTACGCATATAAAATTCAAGACATTTTGATTGACATAAAAAATAATGAAGATTATGAATTTATATTGAAAATACAAAAAGGAAAATAGCATAACATTGCGATATTTAATATCATTTGCTTCAGTTTTTTATACTAGGATTAACACATTTTTATTTTACATTCGCTACCTGCCCCGGCTTTGCACGGGTAGACATATATTATACACATAAACCTTCATCCTTGTACCAATCTATTTATGGCTAAAAACTGCATTATAACCGTTGCGTAGTTTAAAAGATCTAAGCGAACAGATAAGTCGCTTCCTTCATTTTAAAACATGTAAAGATATATTAATGAAGTGTGTAGTATCAAAGATTGATTTCAAACAATAACAATTAAATGTAGTATTATTAAAAAACGAGGGATATATTCAATATTTTTTATTTGTTTATTAATTGCGTAGTGCAGCATCAGGTATATAACCTAATCGGGCAGAAGGAAGATTGTTAGTAATATGGACTAATAGCCCCTCTGCTAGCAATGCACCATGTCAGGTTGACCTCCACGTAGCTCCCCATCGTAATAAATTCCTGGTAAATTTTCCACGATCGACTAACTGGCCTGCTGACCTCATCATACTCAACGTATCAATTTCAACTGGTGCCCCGCTATTATCAATCAATTATCAATTAGGTTCGAAGTAACTAAATTCTAATTGACAGATACTACTGTTACTAAAATTGTGTAGAGATAACATTAGGCGACCCATAAGTTCCGTCGTGGATAAAAAGTTAAATTATACTTACAGGTATTTTAAAAAGTATAAAATAATATAAGGTTATGTTTAAAAAATCTTTAATAATACTCTTACGTCTTTCTGTATCTAAATACAATATTTACAAACTTAAATATACAAAATAATGTCACATCTCTTTTTGTTACAATTCCAAATATTATTTAAATTCGTACATAACCATAATTGGCAGCATGAAAAGGCAGTGATTTAGCTGATTTGAGTATTTGATATTAAAATAAAAAAAGCTTTATTACTACTTAAAAACTAAATATTACAACTATATAATCTATCTCAAAAATACACAATACTTATTAAGAAATTAGTATACAATTTCATTGCATTTAAATGTAATTAATAGCTCTATTTACTGTTACAGTTTTTATAATTGTAAAATTGAAAAACTGTCTTTTTACTTATATTGCTTATTATATATATATACCTAGTATATTTGTTATTATTAAATATGACGTGTAAAATTACAATTATATTGTGTAAGTTTGGGAGAGAACAATCTATTAATGTTACAAAATATAATTTAACTGTAGATGTATACCTACATTGTTCAAGAATAATGTTAAAAAAAATTTACATTATATCACACTAATCCCGTCTGCTATTCGAGACAAGCCAACGAACGCCAATAAATAAACTATTTTATATGAAAATGTCTCGTCAATACATACATAAATATTGGTGGATTGAATTGTATTAAATTGATTTTTATAAATCAACCTATTATACATTAAAATGACATCTTTATCTACATGCATGTAGAATTATTAAAAACAATGTACAAAATATTTTATTCAAGTTTACATAAATCTTTTCAATCGTTTACAATAAGTGTAAAATAAGATCATCTAAATAAACAACCTCTCAATATTTATTATAAAGATATCAATTTTATATATTTTTTTCAGAGCAAAATTAAATTATAAACCCATATGTTATCAAATGTTATCAGATAAACTTCTGTAACTGTATATGCAAGTTAACATATATGAATAGCTGTCATAATTATATATGATAAAATACTTTACTCTTATCGTCTCGCTGCGGGAGCTTGAGTGTGATGAGTACATCCTTCCACATTTTCTGGCCAATCACAAACATTCTCGTTAGGGTTGAAAACAAGATTAGAAGGACAAGGCATATGGTGTTTTCTCTCTCCTTCACACATGTAGTACATGGTGCAGTCAGCCTTGTCTGGATGATAGGAAATATGGCCATCTTCTTCTTCGCAAGTCACTTCGTTAGCTGGAAGAATAATATTAATTAGAAAACTGAAAACTACGGTATAAAGAAGAAACTTACTATTGCTTGTAAAAATATTATTTTTAAATTTTGTTAATAATAAATAGACGCTAAACTACAGGAACGATTATAAGAAAGTTTTCACCTAGATTCTATTTTACTTACAAAAATAGTGATTCCTATAATATTTACACCCGTACGTGTATTATAAAAAAGAATTGTGAATTGAGAATATTATGTAATATAAAATAACATTTATAATACTTAGAAAACATTATCTTATACGCCAGTAATTTAATGAAAACATAATACAATTTCACAGAAATGTTCTATAATTAACTAGACTTAATATTAACACTTTTGAGGAATTGTCAATCTCTGAATCTACTATTCATTCGAAAAGCAGATTCAGCTCAGAAAGGGTGAGAAAGAAGCATGCCTGTTGCTCTTTTAAACGAATATAATGATACTTACGATCTTTTGTAGTGTATTGACCACTGGAGCCTGAGGATTCGTAGGGTCCATCAAATTCTAATTTAACTTTGTATCCGGAGAGTTCCTGCTTCATTGCCGTAATCAATGGATATTTCCCAGTGCCACATGAACCTCTGAAGTCATCCATATCGATTGACCACACCATGATACCACCGAATCCTTCTTCTTTGAGCCACGCCATCTGTGGACAATATTTATTAATTTACATGGGAATTTTTGACATAAGGTATGTTGTCTGTTTTTCTCTATGTGTTTTTGTCTATTTACGTCTTTAGGTTTAACTTAAAAACATCAAGAAAATTAAGATTAAGTTTCCACAGAACATATTATTACAAATATCTGTTAGTTAGCTGTTAAAATATCGCCTAAAGTGATAAAGGTATAATTAAATAATTTTTTTAATTATTTTAAAATCTCTGTACTAAAAAGTGTCATTTTTAGTATAATATGTAAGTGTATGTAATTAGTGTATTTATTGTATTAAAAAGTAGGTGAATTCTATTAATATATGTACGTATCTATGTGTATTTTTTTAATTATTATTCTATTTTAATTCTATTAGCCGCATTCATGTATCTCTGCGCATTTCAAAGGTTGACTGGGAGAGAATGGTATAGCATTAAGTCCACCTTTTGTACCAATTGTAATGGTCAAAAAGCAAATAAATAATTTTTTTCCCCTCCATAGAGAAAATTGAAATCATTTGATATATAATCAAAAACAGAATGTTGTAATTTAAATTATAATTGATTGATTAAGAAAGTAATATCGGTACATATTAACACTTAGTCGGAAATTTCTCCTCTCAATTGCGGATGTTTTTAGAATTTTAGTAATATATCAACATTTTACGATTCCTTTGATATTTTTATTCCACCATTTTGCGAAACAGAATCTCGTCTCCCGCATTTTACTATAAAAACTGAGCGTAATGAGTTGACTTGTTTCCCGAAACAATGTGTTACAATACAATAACATAATTAAGAATACATTTTAAAATACAACGCATAAATTTGTCGGCGCTTCAGAAAATCTGTTCCATTATAAAAAAGTGCCGTGTAAATGCAAATTAAATTAATGCAAACGAATTAAAGAATCACGAGGAATTCTTTTCAAGTCCTGCAGTGCTTGTAATAATTGCAAAATATTTTGCTGTTCTGAATACCTTATAATTAGTATTGTATAATCAACCAAGTTAATGAACATCCATTGTCCTTAATTAAAGTTTATATTGTTGAATGCATAATGAATGATTTACCTCAAATTTATAGGAGATCTCATATGTACCTTATGTTTGTATTCTGATAAAAATAAATATTTTCGGAATGAAGTCAATTTTTATTCATGTAAAAAAATATAATTTTTCGTTTGTTTCTTCGTGAATTTATACGCGTTTCTGCTATTATTTGTTTTACTCTTGATCCCTCATACTACGCCAATCTTATTCTTGCTAATCTCTGAAATTACTGGACCGATTTTGACGGGACTTCCACTCGCAGATAGCCAATATTATAGGGAGTAACTTAGGCTACTTTTATTTTAGAATTTTTTATTTATTTCAATAGAAAAAGATCTATATTCCACGCGGAAAAAGTAATGGGTAACAGCAAGTATTAGAAGTTATATTCCACGAGTCGTACTTGTGGATTCATGAGTAGAATAGAATAGAAAATCATTTATTCAAATAAACTTAATTTAAGCACTTTTGAATAGTTGTGACGGTTCGCCTAGTACTCATTTTAGTTTTACGTCATATTTTGCATAAAATGGGCGATAAAAGGAAATAACAAGAAAAATGTACATATTAAAAATATTCACTTCAAAAATTATACATACATAGAATAAATTAGCATATATTCCGTTATTTAATTAACAAAATAATTGTAGTAGAAGCATCGTCTTATTTGATAAATAAAATACATAAAATAAGTTAGATGTAAAATAGTACAAAATACTAAATAAAATCAATATTGTGTATTTAGCTCTCAACACCAGAAAAAGGATAGTTCGCTATAACTATCTATAGATATTACATGTGTGTCAAAATAAAGCCATTAAAAACTGTTAAATGCATATATGTAAACATGTTTACTAGCAGAAAAGACAATAGGGCGGCATCCTTTTGTGTTCGTCAAAAAGAAGGCCGACAAACACACTATCTACAGATATTACACGTGTGTTAAAAACAAAACTATTAAGAACTGTTAAATATTTTTCTGTAAACATATTTACTAGCAAATAGGACAATAGAACGGCATCCTTTGTGTTTAACAAAAGAAAGCCGACATGCATACATAGGATGTTCCAATTTACTACGTTGTAAGAGATCATGATTTAAATAGATAAATAGAAAACGACTTCTAAGGAATTAATTGTATTGAAACATTAGTTCAGGTTTTGATAATAGAAAGGAATTTATTAGAATTTCATAAAAACACAGTATGTAAAATAATAGTATCAACAGAATGAGCGTTTATATATGAATACTAACGTTTATCTAATTATAATGATTTATTAAGTAAATTATAAATTACATTTTTATTTTTATTACAGACTTTAATATTAATTACATATTATATATGTGTTTGCAATTTATTATAAAGTTATATCAACTTTAAATTAATAAACAAGTAAATATATTATGTAAACTCGGTAAATGGTTATTTATAATTTATATAGGAAAAATATTTGAAAAACAAAATAAAATTTAGGATAAATAAAAGTGTTACAAAATAAATTTAAAAATCATCCTGTATAATTAGTGTGAACTGCATAAGAACGAAGTTCTCACGTTGAGTTATGTTTAGATATATATATATTTGGCAAGACCAAAATTGGTAGAATTGTGAGGAAGGATGAAGAATCAAAAGAAAGTTTAGTCGTCGGCGAGCTTCCGTAGGAGTAACAAGTGTATATTTAACTCTTTTACTATTCGTAAATAAGGAGATTTTAGTAAGTGATTTTAATACTTTAATATCCGTTCTTGTCAACATATTGGTAAGTCATTTTAATTCTTTCACTTTATTTATTGTGCTCATAATATACTGTATGTCTGTTATCATTTGACTGTATTATTGGGATATGTTAGATAAACTGCCAAGTTAATTAGGAAATGTACATGTGTTTATTTATTTTATGATTTGCGTGGAATTAATATGTTGACGAATACATTAATTTAGTTTAATTACTTATAATATAAAATTTAACGAGCATGGTTTATTTGTGTCTTTCTTATATTACGATAATAGTCTCAATTTGTACCTAAATCTGAGTTATATTGATTTATTTTCTTTAGTTAGGTTGAAAGGTTAGGAGTTTAATATTAAATGTGTATATTTACTCGTTAGATGCTAATGAATTTAATTGTGTCCTTTAACAGTTGTTGATAACTCTAATATTTTATATGAGAATTATATTAATAATAAATTTACTACGACTAAACTAAAAGTAAATTAAGGAAGTTATAGTAAAACCCTATTGTACTTATAATGATGGCTAATAATAGTTCAGTTACTTATCAAAATTAAATATTTCATTTACTTATTTCAACTATTTATTACTTATTTCAAATATTTCATTACTCACACTAAATGTCTTGCTATGTGGTGTTCTTTGTTTGGGATAGTAAATTACGTTTACTATTTCGAATATGTAGATATTGCATGGTTAATATTTAGTACATGTCTATATTACATTACACGAAAGATGTAGTGAGAGGAAGATGTTTGAGTCTTATATATATATTTTGCTGAAGGCTTTATTAGAAGGAGGCAAATGTTTGTATCGATGAATAAACTATTGAAGTAACATTTTCCAATAATTTATGATGATCAAATGTGAACCGTAAATCTCTATGGAGACTTTAGCAAGTAAGTGAAGTTATAATAAATAGGTTGTGGAAGTTTTTATCAGGAGGAGAGAGAGGCTCAGATCGATGAATCTATGATGAAGTCACATGTTCCATCATTTGAGGAGAGATGGGTCAAAGCTCGCAATGAAGGTTTTAGACCACGATCCCTGTGGAGATTTCTACAACCAGTAGGGACTTAACTTAGTTGATAACACTGTGATTATCTAGGACACACACCCTAAGTTTTACCGTATGCATGTTGTATGGCTGGTGTATCAATATAGCGATATGTTGCTACTCTGGATATGCAGCATTGTGTGGGTAAAGTTTAGGACGCATTACATTTATGATATTACAACTTATTATACACTGCACAAATTAAATAGATAATAAATAGACGAATTAACCCATACAAAGATTATATACATTCCACAAAATATGTCGCTTGGGGGGGGCTTGGGGTTCTGGTTACTGAAGGCTTCACTGGAAGGAGGAAAATACTTGTATCGATGATTGAACTATTGAAGTGACATTTCCAATAGTTTTTGATGATATATTATGATCCGTAAATCTCTATGGAGGCTTTAGTAAGGAAATATAATTTCTGTAATAGTTGTGGAAGTTTTTATCAGGAGGAGAGAGAGGCTCAGTTCGATGAATCTATGATGAAGTCACATGTTCCATCATTTGAGGAGAGATGAGTCAAAGCTCGCAATGAAGGTTTTAGACCACGATCCCTGTGGAGATTTCTACAACCAATAGGGACTTCTGTTTAGTTGATAACTGAGTGGTTATCTAGGACACACACCCTAAGTTTTACTGTATGCATGTTGTATGGCTGGTGTATCAATATAGAGATATGTTGCTACTCTGGATATGCAGCATTGTGCGGGTAAAGTTTAGGACGCATTACATTTATTATATTACAACTTATTACACACTGCACAAATTAAATAAGTAATTAATAGACGAATTAACTATTGAATATTGTTTATATGAACCAGCTGAAGCAGTAGCAATTCGGCTCAGTATAACTTCCTTATAAATATAGAGATGTCTTTTACATTCTATAAATAGTGAAACTATCAAAATAATACAGAATTATCATATTGAATTTATACGAATACAACTATTAAAATACATCACATTGAAATTAGTAATGTTAAGTGCACTTATCTTTTCTATTGAATATATTCTACATGAGTAATGATTAGGGTTGTAATAAATTACGTTAACTATTAGGTGAAGATATGGATATTAAACAGTTAAGTGAAAATATATGTAATTGTGAATATTGTAGGGATTGGGGGGTTTATTAGTTGGGAATGGGA